GAACATTCTTCCAGTCTTCTACGGTGAATTTTTTATAATAGTGAGCACATTCTAGTCTCCTGGCTTTGTTGGCTTTGTTGGCTTTGCATATTAGCAACTTAAACCTTCGTACACAAGATTTGTAGCCTTGTTCTAACAGTCACTGACAGATTGTTTAAGAAGCAAGACTAACACCTTGCTCTTCACTTAGACCGGCTGCAATTTCTTGGCTTGTTATAGTCCTATTCTTCGCGACTTCTCTCTTGATTACCCTGCCAGTTCTATCATCAATCTTTTTCTTTCGTCCCCTCGTTTCCTTCCTTGGAGGAGGAGTGGCATCATTATGTGCCCTAAGCACACAAAAGACAGTTGATTGCGAGGTTATAGCAATTTCTGCAATTTCTCTCGCAGACTTGCCTGCTTTTGAGAGGGCAATAATAGATGCCTTAAGTGGTTCTGATGCGTGTTTGTAGACCTTGATCTCGTTAGTGACTTCATTGGCTATTTGAAGCAGTTCTTATACTGTATGAGGCTTTCTGGAATGTTCTGGAATATTCTATATTTAAGTTAAACTGTTCTAGAATTCTCTAGAATATTATTCTGAGTGTATTGTAAAATAGATTTCAATATATTGTCAAAAGCTCTTTAAATTTACCAGTTTAACCATTAGAATGTGATATCTGAGGCACTTCTTTTGCACAGAGTTTTTTTCCTGAATCTCATTTATATCCAAAATTATAATTATCAATAGAATACCTTAGGGTGAATAAACTTTTTTTCTAGGTTGTCAGGAAGGGGTCTCTATATTAGTAAGATTAAAAATTATTTTAAACCCAAAAACAATAGACAAAAAATATTTTTAGTAAAAAATATCAGGTGAGTCACTTTTATCGAACAGCACTGTAGATCATTGCGTCATACCTTTTCAAATGTGGTTGTGTAGTCGATAAAACATACGTATTACTGATTCTTCATTTTTATTACTCGTTCCGATATCGTTCCTATTATAAATATTGCCGTTTTCATTCCAATATTCTATATCGGCAACTAATATTTGCTGTGAGAAAAAAATTACAGAAGCCTTAGAATAAATGGCTTCCAAGAAACTGCGGCGAAATTCATCTCCACAGAGCAGAGCAAACGAGAAAATGTCTCTTGGTTGAGACTATTTTACAGAGACTAAATGAAAACTAAAATATTTGAGGAGAATGACTAAAATAGAAAAGCTAACTGAGGAATCAAAATCAATGTATCAGAATATTAATAACGATATGACAAACGCTCCGAATGAGAATAAATAGCCTGATCAATTACTGAGGAATAGTTTGACGAATCATGAGACCATACAGTGAATACTTTCTGGGCGCCGGTAACTAAGAAAGAGGAGCTGAATGCATATAAAACAATACAATCTTTTATCCATTTAAATCGAGATAAAGTACCAGCCCACATTTGATCATAGGTTGAAACTGAATGCAATTACCTTTAACAAGAGTAGCACGATTCATTCGAACTGAGATGTTGAACTGGTAAAGTTCTTTAGAATCAGTTTATATGAAAGTGCTAATTATGGACATAAAATTAGTCCGACACAACCTCTAAGCGATACAAATTGTTTACAGTAATGGTGCAGCAGCAATTATTAGAGTAAAAATAAAAGAAAATGTATTCAATTTCTTCAGGGTAACTTTCCAATTAACAAATATCTTTTAATTTTCAAACAGTAATAACAGAAGACGAATATATAATCTTTAGTTTGTAACTGGAAAATGACACATTCATCTCATACAGAAATATATGTTGCACTAACCAAATACAGTGAGTAACCATCATTTATTTTTTTCTTTGACTCCAAGTTTCAGACATTTATAGAAATTTAATGTGAATAGCTGGGAAAATTAAAATATATTTTCCTCTAGTATTTAGCAGGGAATATGTTACTTTCTCATCGATCTCCCGAAAATAAATAATAGAGTCAACATTTTTGAAATCGCTATTTTCTCTATAGATTTGTTTGGGGAAAATTAAAAACAGTTACTACTACCCTTCAAAATAATTGTGTTATTTATCTTCACACTCTATATTTCTTTATCCTGAGAATTCGATAGGTGTTAACAGGTAGTCGGGTCTGTGAACGAAAGCAAAAGTTCAGACTCATAATAATAGATATTTCACATCTCGAGAACACCTGTGACGTTAAAGGTGATGCTTGATTCTTTATATAAAATAAGGGAGCATTAAAAAGCAGCATCAACAGAAAAGAAGAAAAGAGGTGGCCTGAATGCCCACGTCGGTTATAGAGAAAATAACTGAAAAAATGTGTCTAGTCTTTCGTAGCTATCATGAAGAAAGTTACATTCCGCACTAAAAGAGGTAGTGAACAGTTGCTGTCATAGTTAGCGATCCGTGTGATTCGAAAGTAGTCATCAGGTTATTTGAAGTAGCCATTAGACAGGTTATTGGAATTGAAAAATCTCGAAGGAATATTAAAATTTAAGGGTTGCGATATCTCCCTTAAAATGATTATTATGATATATGAATATAAACGAATAACACAGCCATCTGCATCGTAAATGCTCTCAAACCAAAAGCGTGCCTGAAGTCATATAAAGTTTTAACGTTTTGAAGATTTTATAAAATATATCTTTTCGCAAAGAGGTAAAATTCCTTTAATTATACTCTGGTATTAATTCGACAATAGAATTAGTACCGCACGCTTTCCTCTGGAATAGGAAACATACAACCACGCCCTTGAAAATTAGGAGTATTCTTAGATGGACAAGGACAATCTAAACATTACAAGCATAATTGTTTTTTTTTAATGAGAGTTACAGAGAATTTCAAATGCAGAGAAATAATTCTTACACATCCGTTTATATATGGTACGATGTTACACATCCGTTTATATATGGTACGATGACATTAAAACTGAAATCCTGAGGAAACACACTCCTCCACAATTATTTATAAATTTTACTGTGGCATAGAAATCTCATACCTGTCTCCTGGACAGTCACGCCCATTTACATTAAAAAAAATTAACTGAGTGTTCTATCCAAAAAAGTTTAGGGTAACAAATATTTTACAATTTCTGTATTGTCGTGCAATGAAGCTGAATGAAAAACGGTAAATAACATGTTTTTATTTTGATAGGCAGGAAACGGGGAAAATACGATGTACAAAAATGTGACTTATATACATTTGTTTATAAGTCACATTTTTTTTTATTGCAGACTTCAAAATTGGGATTCGGTTCATACATAGATTTTCGTTTCAAATGAAATTATGTTTTACATGTAATGGGAGAAAGAGGAACCAATCTTAGTTGCAAACGTCACACACATTTAACGCTTAGGACTAGTAAACAAGGGAGAGATAAATACGTGTATTTACGTATGAAAAACTGCGCAGTTCTTTTAGCAGCTGAAGCGCGCCAACTTTGCTAACAGAGTGAACTCATATTTCTGTAATTTACATGAAAGAACTTTATAATGTAAATTCATATCACAAATAGTATGTCTGTTTAAATTCTGGTTTGGTTTCTTTTCGTTTATTCTGTTTTACGCTATATCAACCTCAATGGGTTATTTAATGCCGACAACATTTTTATTGCTGGTAATATGTTTTTCTTCAAAGATCTATTTCTGGGAATATTTTTCCTTGAAGAAATCTATAACTGGTCATACTTTTATCAAAAAATGTATAACTATGTATTACTGTTTTGGGTTTTATTTTTTAAGTATTGCTGATAATTTTCCTTCAAAAATTATTGCTGGTAATAATTTTTTTTACATGCTATTTCTGGTATTAAAACCTATTTTTACACAAGTTTGGTGTTAACTATTTGCCCATAGCTGGGACCCCCTAGCAGGTGCTTCCACGCTGGGCAGGGTGGAAAGACCTCTTAATTGCAGATGTTTCCACACTCCTCAAAACATCCTGATCAGAGGCCTTGCTCTTGGACGTAGTTTATCGTCTTACCCAGGACGCAGATGTAGTTTATCTTCATACCCAGGGCGATTACATTCTGGGCTGAGGGTATCCTCAATCAAGGGGGATCACTGGAGAATTAAATGTCTGAAAAAAAAACAGCGCTATGATGACTTTCTAGGCCTAGCAAAAAATAAATAAACTATGGTAGTCTCCCATAAACAAAGACACACGACAGTGAATCTTCAACATCAGAAACATGAAGAATAACACCAAAAGCAGCAGTCCAAACATGATATGCCCTAGCATTTTCAGCAGTAATCAGCAGGCAACCGAAAAGTGTTCTACGGAACAACGGCCTATTGGATTAAATCCTCGGTTTATGAATTTCGTGGTTCTGAGGTCAATCCCCGGGATGAGCAGTATATACTTGAACTCAGTTGAACTGGGAGAGAAATAAGTGAGCAACAATAAAAATAAAAACTAGACGGGATATCCTTACAGCGGAACAAGAAGGGTTTACTCCCGAAGATTAAATAAATTGTTCAATTCAGATTTCGCTGTAGGTTACCCAGATCGATATACCCCTGAGGATGTCCGGACGGCTCAACTGCTGAAACGTTGTGATATCATCAACAATGTTGAGAACAATTTTCCGAATATAAAGAATGTAAATCATAAATAGTATGACTATATATAGAACTAGAAATATCATTATGACCCTTTAATATATTCAAAGCTAATATTACAGTCGAAATGAAACATTTGTAAATGATTACACCAGTAACTCTTTGCGCCTTAAGCTATTGTCAATGAAGACTTACTCGAGTGTAAGCAGGACTTGGTCGCCAATTATTGTATTTTGATGTGCATTAACCTGGTTTCATGTTAAACAAGTTGCTTACTAAAATGTGTTTTATGCTACGATATATATGGTGTTTATCAATACTGAATTATTCAAAACGTGCGTCAAATTATTCACGATTTTCTACCGAAGCCGGATATACGCAGTAAATTTACATTGAATTTAGACTAGATTGTAGGCCAAAACATCATCATACATATTCTATTCATTTCGCTGGAAGAAAACGATGACAATCTATCACGAGAGCAAACTGCGCGTCACAGGCAAATTTTCTTTTTTACTCCGGAAATTCAAGTAAGTATAAAATCTTAATAAGCTGCAAGTTATCATCTTCATTTACAAGCTAATATCTGTGGAAATACACATTTTCTTCACCTTGCTTTAATTCTAATGAAAGAAATTCTGTAATAATTATTTGATCTGAATTTAAATTAAATGAAACAAAAGCAAACTATGCTTCTAGAATTACAATCGGAACAAAGCGGATATGAAAAGCAAAATAACTAATCTCTAGAGACGCATCTGTCGACTACATTTTCTTTCCTACTTTGGTTACGTTCAGTCTGAAAGCTTTTTCATTCTTTCTCTTCGAGTGCTAAATTATCGATTAGTCGAAACATTGTATTTAAATCAAAAGCCATGTAAATTCAAATCATTTGAACACATTAATAAATATTTTCAACATCAGAGATATTATTAAAACTTGTTCTGGCATTACAACTATATTAAACATTATAAGGAAAAGAGTGCATTATAGTTTGTTACCTGTCCAAAAGTGAATTTTCACTGGCTAAATTTGTCAAAATGTCATCCGTGTAAAAACACAATTTTAAGTCCCTTTCTCCATGCTCGTTTCCCACTCTTTGACTCTTGAATATAAGACTGAAGAAAAATAAGTGAATTTATTAAACAAAATACATAGGAAAAAAACTTACTGTGAAGCTCAGTTGTCGTCTATTCTGTTATTTTGGCCAAAATAGTAGTTAGAATAGCCAACAACAATCAATCTAAAATTGGACGAAATATAGTTTTAATTACCTTCCAAGACACAAATAAACAATTAAATACACGATCAAAACTAAAATGTTACTAAAACATCGAAAATCGAAAAATATAAATAAATATATAAAATGAAATAAATAAATATATAAAAAATTAATAAATAAAGCAATAAAAACAAGCAAAATAAATTTAGCCAAATAAATAAATAAACCACTCCCGCCAAAATAACCGTTAGAATGGACTATCCACACTGCACCACTAAACCATATATAAAAACAGTTGAGAAAATACCCAACGCACGTGGCCTGAACATTGCGTCTAGCATGAAACAGTCTGTCGCCTCTGAGTGTTGAATTCAATGTTCACTTTTATATTTACATACGCTCTATCCCTGATATTGAGCACTTTATTCCATACATATAACACTCCTTAAAACTATATTTCTTCGTACACAAACACACACACACACACACACACACACACACACACACATATATATATATATATATATATATATATATTGTGTGTGTGTAAGTGGTGTATCAAATGTACGTTTACAAGCGTTGCTGTCAAGTTCTTCACACCAAAACAGGAAGAAAATCGATAGAAAATATCTCAACATATCCTTCGTTTTTGAGTTATTAAGTTAAATTTTATGGTAAATGCTGTTAAATATACAACATTAAAATACTTTTACAAATTCAGGGACGAGTTCCTGAGACCAAAACAAGGTAAAATGTCCATATAAACTGTTGAAACTTGACTAATGCATGGAATAATAATGCAACACAAAATGTACTTAGAACAAAATGTATTGAAACAAGAAAGTGTACACAATATTTACATATAGTCTTTTGTATATTCCTGGTAAGACCGTTCCTGGAGAATGTGTTGACTGAGTCGAAGTCGGGCAGAGTCTCTGGTTGAATCTCTTGATTCCTCCCTCTCTTCCCGGTACCAACCATATTTATATGGTCGGTACTCCACTATGCAAATTAGGTGGATCCTACCACAACACCCAAGCCTTGGAATCACTTTTGGATTTCAACTGGCTTCCTATATGGGTTGATGATTATGGCTATTTCTTTGTAGATCCATTTGCATACTTCATATGCATATGTCCATCCGCTTAATTTTAATATTTTTCCGTTTTGGATTCACGTCCAATGGGTCCGTGAACTTTCGTTTCCTACCGGATCTTCTCGGTTCAGGAGTATTCTGCGGAGGTTCTACTTGAAACATATCATACATTACCTCAATGGGATCTTCCTCCTCATTCGGTATACTCCCTTCATGCTCTATAACCTAACATTTTTTAAGTTGATTCTGGTGCCTTTTATGAGTATTCTTCGGCCCTTTAATTATGTAAATCAGGTCATTGATTCTATTGTCCACTATGCCTCGCTCCCAGAACTCAACGTTGTTTTTGTAGCACTTGAAAAACACCTTCTCTCCGGAGGTGTATCTTTTTCTCGTTGTATACATAGTATTCTTTACTCTATTTTTTCCTGGCAAAAGTTTGTCAAACACTGACTTAACTTTCCTAGCGAACATTAGTTCAGCTAAAATGAAATTAAAATGAAATCTTCGCTTTCAGCTTCTTTTTTTTAATTTCCTTTAGTGTAACCGGTAGCTCTCTTACAATGTTGTTTACCATGCTTTTCACCTCATAATCTGCTCTGATATTTGCAATAATTGATTCTTCGAATCTTTCTTCTTGACTCGGTACGAGTCTTGATAAACTATCCGCATGAATTATATTTTTGGATGATAGGTGCTTTATGTGAAAATCATAATTGAGAAGAATGGTTCCCCATCTCAACAGACGATTTGCCGTATAAACGGGTAACCCTTTCTTTGAACCAAAAATAGTGATCAGTGGTTTATGATCCGTTTCAAGCATAAAATGTCTGCCGTGGATGTATCTGTGAAATTTTGTTATGGCAAAAATGATACTCAACGCCTCTTTTTAGATTTGTGAGTAACTTCTTTCTCCTAGGAGTAAAGTTCTCGAAGCATGTGCAATTGGTTTTCTAGACCCATCTGGCATTATGTGTTGAATACACGCTCCTATCCCGTATGCCACTTGCCACTACAATATCCAGTTTTGGATTGTAATGGGTTAAAAAGAGTTCGGACGTAAGCATTCTCTTTATTTCATCAAAGGCTTTCTGACATTCTACCGTCCATTCCCATGCCTTGTCTTTTTTTAGCAGTTCATTCAACGGAGCTCTTAAATTATACATTCCTTTAATGAGCGCTTGATAATAATTTGCGAGCACCAGAAAACTCTGTAGCATCGCAACATTAGTGGGCGTCGGCATGTCTCTAATCGTAATGGACCTTTCTGGATCTGGAAATCTGCCCTTTTTGTTGATTATGTGCCCTAAATACTTAATTTCCTCTAAACCAAATTCGCACTTTGACTCTTTGACTTTAAAACCAAAGTCCTGAATCTTTTTAAATACTTGATTGAGAGGCTCTCGATGTTCGTCGACGGTTTCGCTCCTTACTATGATGTCGTCTAAGTAGGCGCACGCAAAGTCTAAATCATTCAACATGACGTCCATAGTTTGTTGAAAAATGGCTGGTGCCAATTTAATACCAAAAGGAAGCCTGTTGTACTTGAATAACTATCTATGCGTGTTTATCCCTAGTAACTTCGAACATTCCTCTTCGACGGGAATTTGGAGATAGGCATCTGATCTGTGGAAAAATCAGCGCAGACTCTGACTTGGTTTGATTTCTTTTTTATGCACACAATCGGCGCAGCCCATGAATTAGATTCTACTTTCGAAATAATTCCCATTTTTTCCAACCTATCAAGTTCTTCGTTAATTTTCTCTACACTTGCGAAAGGCACGTTACGTTTCTTTTTAAAAATTGGCATAGTATTTTCCTTTAATTCAAATTTAGCTTCAAACTTGTTACATCTTCCAAGACCAGGTGTGAAGTTTTCCGGAAGCTTTTTCTTTAATTCATCTTTAATGTCCTGTCTTGTTTGCGTATTACTTTCTACTTTTCTGCAGAATGAGTTTAACGGTTTATCCCACAATTCGAATGTTTCAATAAAATCTGTACCCATCAAGTTTTCTCCATTTTTCAGAATGAAAACTTTTATTTTTTTAACTATCCCGTTCAATTTCATGGGAAGTACAATCTCGCCTTCGAAGTTAATTTCCTTTCCAGTTACCGTTCGAGCGCATTTCGTTGACTTCATTATTGTATGCCTTTTTTTAAAATTTTCCATGTTTTATAGTTCATTATTGTTAAATCTGAACCCGAATCGAGTTGAAATTTGATATTCTTGTTAAATATTTCAGTCGTCACATATTTCCTCAAATCTCTATCTGATTTTATATTTGAATTTGTTTGTCTAATTCGGCTATTGACTTTTTCGTTTTACAACACGATCCTTTGTGTCTATTCTTGTGGCACACGAAACATTTCTTATTTCTATATGGGCAATTTACCTCCCAGTGTCTTTCGTTGCAACGTCTACAATTATATGGTGGAACCTTTTTTTTCCTCCTCGTTCTTTTTCATTTAATTTTTCTTGTCTATTTCTAAAATACGCCGAATTTTTTACTCCAATTTTTTGCTGATGGGTAATTTGACTGTTTTTTTATTTTTTAATATAAGCAATGCCAGCTTCTTCGATTTTTGAGACTCTTTCTTTAAACTTACGGCCCGCTGACACTCCTCTGCTAACTTTTTGTAGGGTAAGGTTTTGTTCAGATTCGAGTTTAGCCAAAACTCTACGTCTTATTTCGGCACTCCTACTGGATACCAGTCCTTGAGCAAAAATTAAACACTTGAATTCTTCAACCGTAATCTCTGCCAATCTGAAATTGTCACAATGTCTATTCACTATAGATGCATATGTTAAGTAATCCTGATCGTCGGATTTAGTACATTCATGCATAACCATCGCTTATGCCAAAGCGACATATTTGCTCCAAACAACTTCTTTAGCAATTTCACTGTTTCCGAGAATTCCAATTCATTCGTTCTTCTCGATAGAATAAAATCTACAAATTTGCTATGTTCTGCTGTACCTAGCTTTCTTAGTAATAGACTGACTTTTCTTGAATTCGACCAGTTTTCACAGTCTGTGTAGAAAATATCTTCATATCGTTTAAAGTACGCTTCAAACGTTTGTTCTTTGTCTGGCCCATAGTTGAAAGTTTCCAGCGAATAAAATATGACGTTATTAGAATATGAAGAATTTCCTTCATTTGCCTGATTGTTGTTTAATTTCTCCAGTTTTAACTTTTGAATTTCTAAAACCT